CAGAACCTGTGGGCTCAGGCAATCCACTCACCTCAGCCTCCCAAAGGCGCGGGATTACAGGCTGAGCCACCGAGCCCGGCTCACAAAAGTCATTCTTAAAATTAAGTCTCCCTATTTCCTTTCCCCACCTCACTGGAACAATTTTTCCAGTATTAGAAAAGGGAAGGAATACATGGTTAATTTTAAAAGCAAGCCTGGTAGGTGTTAAAAACTTCCTAAGTTTTCAGATGAATAGCCTGCCTCAGAACTCACAGCTACTGGCAAAAGAGTCAGAATCCCAGGAACATGTTTAGTACAGTATTGTCTGGGTGCGTGTGTGTGTGTGTGTGTGTGTGTGTGTGTGTGTGTGTGTGTATTTGAAAAAAAAAATATATATATATATATTTTTTTTTTTTTTAGTAATTACCACATAGAGAAGCAGTATAAAGTAATGGTTAAAAAAAGCATGTGCTCTGGAACCAGCCTGCTTCAGTTCAAATCTCAGCTTTTTTATCTGTAAAATATAGATAATAATATTATCGACCTAGGGTACTAGGGTTATTGTGTGGGTTAAATGAATTAATATATGAATGGCATTTAGAGCAGTGCCTGGCATAAAGTAAGCACTCAAAATATATATATAATTATATCATCAGTATTACTACTTTCACTACTATTTCTAATGTTATGATAAATCTATTTGTGTGTGTAAATGAGTATGGCCTGGACTTTATGAATGAAATTTTAGCAATAAGCTATAAGCAGTCCAAAGATAGTTTAATTGGTTGTTTACAATTATAGGCTTACTGCAGATCACTGATAAAATACAGGCCAGATTGTTTTTAGTATATCGAGGGTCCATATTGTCACTTTTTTTTTTCAAAATGAACTCTAGATTCACATCTCTGCTCACTCTATGTTGGATACCTCATTTTGGCCATACCCCAGTCATATCATGCTTCTTGATCTGAGTAGATAATTATATATGTTTTTGCAATGTTATTTTAGTAAGTTGTGTATAATCTATAATATGGTACATTACAATTTATTTTAAAATGTCTAGGCCATAAGACCTGACCAAAAGCTTTATATAATGTTTTTAGTTTTGCTACATTTGGTACATATTTTGTGATCAGTTATTTAAATATATTTTTATAAGGACTGTCTTATTCCTCTTTGTGGAGAAGAAGAAAATTCTGTCCTTATGTCTGGTGAAAAGTTATCAGACAATTTTCAAGATTCTGAACAGTTAGTAGAGAAGATATGGTATCGTGTAATGGGTGATAGCTTGGTTGTTGGAGTAAGAACCACATCTTCTTTGAAGCTGTAAGTAATTTCTAACGAGGTAACACTATCTTGATACATTATAATTTTAATGTGTAATTGGTATAAAACATTACTAATAAAATACTTTTATTTATTTGTTGTTATTTTTTTTTATTAATCAATATTTTTTATTATGGTCATGCTAAGTTTTTAATATTTGGTGTGTATGTTACATGTCATATCACAATTCTGACTAGCCACATGTCTAGCATGCAGTAGCCACATGGATCTGGTGGATACTTTTTTGGCCAACACAGCTTTAGAAGTATCTCTTTTACACAAATGCATTGAGTTAATAATATGGAGACGATGAGGTTTATGAAATCAGGGTGCTGTAGTCTCAGGGTAAAGGTAATTAATCAATACACAGAACATTCTAATCAAAACAAATAATTTAGTTAAGTAACAATGTATCTCCCTCTGATAATAGAGGATTTTCTCTTTTGAGCTGTTGAAATAATAGATAGGGAGAGAGGTAATGTATACTCTGTTTGCAGCATAACAAAGAGCTTTATAATTAAAACAGGCTAAATACAGGCGTTTTTTCAGTAACTACATTTGAACCACAAATATGCAAGCAGAGAAAAACCAGATAATGCCTTATAATATAGAGACAGTGGCAGTATATTTATCAGTTTTGTATTATACAGCCAGTCTTGAATTCCCAAGATCAACTCAAATTTATTATATCATTTTGAGACATTGCTGGATTTGGTTTGCTAACATTTGGTCAAAAATATTGGAAATGAATAAAATTGGCTTGAATTTTTCTTGAATAATACATTCTTAAATGATACTTGCCTGGTTTTAGTGTCAAAGCTATACTAGTTTATAATGAACTGAGGAATATTTCCTTTTTCCTGTTCTCTAGAGTAGTTTGTGTAAATTGAGAGTGATCTGAGTTTTTTGATATTTGGTTATACTCACCTGGAAAGCAGTAGAAATTTGGCATTTTCTTTGTGAGATGATTTTTAACTAGTGATCCAATTTCTTTAATAGTTACAGAATTATTTACATTTTCATTTATTTTTGAATACATTGTGTTTGTTTTTCTATTAATTATCACATTTGTCGGTATGAGTTGTTCCTAAGATCCTCTTATCAACTGTACTGTTAGTAATTATTAGTCTCTTTTTATTCCAAATCGTATTTGTGTCTCTTTTTTCTTGACTAATTATTGCCAGAAATTCATCTGTTTCAGTAGATCTTTCAAATGATTAAAGTTTTTGTTGATTTTCAGTTCTATGTTTCCTGATTATTTTGGATCTTTTATTATTTTTCTTTTACTTTCTTTGGACTTATTCTGTTATTTATTTTTTCAAACTATTTCACCACGACATGATTAGATGCAGATTTCTTTTTCATTCTGCTTTAGGTTGTTGAGCAACTTCTTGGCCCTAAAAATTATTTTGTCCCCCCTGCGCCTCCCCTCTGACAATTCAAACCATTTCTTAATTATTATTTCTTTAAATATTGATGCTTCCTCATTTTTTCTAGTATCTCTTATATCTTTCTCCTTAGGGAACTCTAGTTGGTCCTCTGTTAGACCTTCTCATTTCATGTTCCATGTCTCTTAACCTCTTTTATATTTCCTTTTATCTCCCTGTGCTGAATCCTAAGGAATTTCTTCTACTTTATATTCTCTCTACTACTTTTATATTCAATTCTTTCTATTTAGCTATTTAATCCAGTTATTGAATTTCTATTTGTATTATTATTTGCATTTAGCTTAAGTTCTATTTGTTCTTTTTCAGATTTGCTTGGTAATTTTTTATTGTGTCTTATATTTTCCATCTTGTCTTTAATTTTCTTAATATACTAAACACAATTGCTTTAAAAATGTTTTTATATATAGAAAAGTTCAACTATGTCAAGAGAATAGTATAGTGGACCCCTTTTGCTCATTACACTGCTCCAGTAATTATTAATTCATTGCTAATCTTATTTCATCCATACCTCTATGCACTCTTCACCTCCAGTCCCCAGATTATTTGGAAGCACTCAAAGACATCATATTATTTAACTGTAACTATTCCATTGTATGCATCTAAAAAGTAAAAACTTTTAAAAAAAATGTACATGTGCCCTTCCAAAAAAATTAACAGTAATTCCCTCAGTAAATGCTCAAATTTTTCATTTGTCTCTATTTCGAAGTAATTTTTCAAATCGTAAGTCAAATAAGGTCTATACATTGAGCTTGACTGAGATCTCTAAATTCCTTGTAATCTACCTTCTATGTGTTTTTGTTTTATTATTATTTTCCTTGCAACATATATTTTGAAGAAATGAGACAGTTTGTCTTGTGAAGTTCTATAGTTATATAGACTGGATTTTGTTGATTTTATCCTATAATATTGCCTAACATATTTCCGTCTCCTGTATTTACTCTAAATTCCATAGTTGGTTCTAGAGACTGGATCAGAATTTATGCCTGAATTTTTAACAGAATACTTAATAGATAGTGTTGCTTTCTTCCATCAGGAGACATATAAATCTGATCATTTTCATTGTGTATGTTAGCCACTGTGTTGATCATTGCTCAGTTCCATTGTTTCATTAGGATTTACATCCTAGTGATATTCTAATTTTTAGTTTAATTATTAGCCAGAATACTTCTATAAAGAGATGTCACCTCATCAGTGATTTAGTTAGACTCTCAAATATAGTTTGTAATTTAGAAACCAGAGTTTGAATGCAAGAGTTGCTCATTGCTCCTGAGTGGATTTTTATTTCTAGACCTATTTAGTGGGCAGAGGCAGGAGATAATGTTTTCTGTTTGTTTAGTTGATTGTGGTTTTGATTTATTTAAAGATAAAATACAGCATAAGTCCATGCTGTTACTTCCAGTTCAGACTAAGGACTTGTAGGTTTTCACATATTAACACCAGTTTTATATCTGTATGTTCTTTCTCTCTTGCTGAAAATTTCAATTCTCAGTTGCACCAACCTAATTACTTACTTGCTTCATTTAGCACCACATATATGCTATTCATAGAATAACACCACCAACAATATGATTATTGCAAATTGAGATTTTTAAAGTTCTTTTTAAGTCCTTAACATAACCCATTAGATATATAGTGAAATTCCTATGTTAAAGGAATTTCCTGTATTAAATTCTTACATTGTTTTCTCTTTGGTCATGTCACCATTCTCACTTGTTTTATTTAATAAACTTTGGCGGTGTTAGAATGTACTAAAATAAGCCTATGTATATTTATAAATTGTTATAAATGTAAATTTGGAAAGAATTGCTGATGGATAAGCAATATTCTTAATGAAAGAAAAATACTTTATTCCAGTCATTTTGAGAAGCATAAAGTACAATTCTTAGTTCAAAAGTTTTGCATTTCAAATAATTACTAAAATAAATACTTTAAATATAATGAATAGGTTTTTTTATTATTTAAAAAGAGGAGGGAGAAAAACTACCTTGAACGTAAAATCTAGGAATTTTTTTTACTATTTCTTTATCTTAAAAATTACTTTCCTGAAGTCTAGCATATTTAGTGTTTTCATTTGCCTTTTTTAAAGAGAAGCGCTTTCACAGACCCTTTAAAAATGTGTTTAACTCTTATTTTATATTTGAAATGATGTTTTCTAGGAAAGGAGAGAACACATTTTTTATTGTTGCTTGTATGGCATTTAATCATGTATTTGATTTTTAAAGAATGAGATTTAGAGTAAACCAATCTCTGGGTTTTTTACAGGTCCCTAAATGATGTGACGTTATCGCTATTAATGGATCAAGCCCATGACTCCAGCTTACGGCTTATTAAGTGTCAAAACAGAGTGATTAACCTGAGTACAGGTTCTATCCCAGCACCACACTTGATGCCATTTGAAATAGAATCGGAAGCAAAAAGGATCAAGTTGACCCTTGGTAGCAAAGAAAAGGAAAGTTTTATTTGTGAACAATCATCTAAGAAAGAGTATGTACACATAATTACTGCTGTAACAGCTCTTTCGCCACTTTTAGCATTCAGTAAATTTTGTTGCATTGTACTGCTACAAATTAGGGAAGGAGAAAATGGTAACTATCCTGAAGATCGTTATGTTCTATGTGGCAGACTTTTTTTAAGTCTAGGAGATCTTTCAAGTGGGAAATATCTACTGACATTTCCAAAGAAGCCTACAGGTAATTTCTGTTGGTACTTTTAAATTATATACTTAATTGAATTAGTTAAGAACTCTTTATCTGATAATGGACAGAGTTTAATGATAGAGCTTGTAACATGTCTTTTTTGTAGAGCACATGGAAGATCTTTTTGCACTTCTTGCAACATCCCACAAATCTTGTTTTCAAATCAAATCACCTACCTATGTCCTGAATTCAATGAAGGTGTGGCTCTTAGAACACATGAAATGTGAAGTAATAAAAGAACTTCCAGAAATATACTTTTGTAAAAGGCCAGATTTCTATGAGACGGTCTTCACCTGGAAACAAAGAACATCATTTGAAGGGATTTTAATAGTCTATTCCAGGTAATGCACATCAAATTGGAATTGGTCCAGAGAAGCTAGTATGTATGAGTGTGATAAATGTGTGGTTCAACAACAATCCCCATTCAGAGTTTGATAAATTATTGAGGAACACATCAGAGCCATGGCCTGATATAGCACTAATGGACAGGTTGGCCTCATTTCGAAACTGAAGAACTCTGTTTTAATTTTACATTTGTTTTTGGCTTTTTCTTAGGGCCTAGTAATTATTTTGAGATTTGCCTTTCTCTCTCCTCCACAGGGAGATTTTTAAAAATATACTGGGCCAGGCACAGTAGCTTATACCTATAATCCCAGCACTCTGGAAGGCCAAGGCAAGAGGATTACTTGAGTCCAGGAGGAGTTTGAAACCAGCCTAGTCAACATAGCGAGACCTCTGTCTCGACAAAAAAATCAAAACAGTAACCAGTGATGGTGGCACGTGCCTGTAGCCCAGCTACTTGGGAGACTGTGGCGAAAGGATCACCTGAACCCAGGAGGTCAAGGCTGTGGTGAGCTGTCATTGTGCCACTGCACTCCAACCTGGGTGAAAGAGTGAGACCCTAACTCAAAAAAAAAAAAATAATAACTGACTTGGTATAGGATATGTATATTTGATTGCTACACTATGAATTTTATCAATGATCACATGTCTTATTGGTTCTATTTACCATTACAGTATTTATAAACGAATATTAATTGATTAGTACAGTATATTGTACACTGCTTCTTTATGCTGTTCTGATTTTTGTAATATTTTGTTTGCTTGTTTTATTTCAGGAATCAAACAGTTTTGTTCCAGTGCCTTCATAATCTTATTAGAGTTCTCCCTGTAAGCTGTTTCCTCAAAAATTTAAAATTAGGAAGTACAGATTTCCTAATTAATTATATGGCATCTACTTTGGAGAAGGAACTGGTTACCTTTGGTTCTTTTTCTTCTGCCCTAGCTAAAGTTGAAAGCAACATTGTGCAGGAATGTGAAGCAAGCAAAGGAAAGAGTAGTGTCGTTGTGACTCCTTCATCAGATGGAAAGGAAAATATCTACTCCTACAGAAAAGAGCTTCAGAGAGAAAAGGAGAAAATGTTGCAAATGAACCTAAAAATGAGTGGTGTTCTTTACAGAGAAATGACTTTGAAAGTAGCTGAAGTTCAGTTGAAATCAGACCTCACTGCACAGAAACTGACCACTTTATAATTACAACTTCAATTTTATCCTATTTTATGGTAGGTTCTTACTACCCTAAAGTTTTGTTTCCACTTGCTATATACCTTCTTTGTAAAAATAAAGACTGAGGCTTATTGTAGTAGAATCTTTAATTTTGGTGATGCGCAAAATAGTATGCCTAATAAAGTGGCAGTTCTCAGGGTCATTTTGCCTCCCTCTATTCCTCCCAACCCCAAGGGGTATTTGACTATGTCTGGAAACATTTTTTAGTTGTCAGAATTTGGGTCAGGGGAGGGTGAAGTGGGGATGCTGTGGGCGTCTAGTGGGTAAATGAGACCAGAGATGTGGTTAAACATCCTACTGTGCACAGGACAGCCCCCTACAACAAGAATTATCCAGCCCAAAATGTCAGTAATGCAAAAGTTGAGAAATAGTCTTACAGCTACCACTTAAGACAGAATTGACATAATAGTATTTTGGTGTAAATCTTTAAAAAAATGTAATCCTTTTCTTGTATTCTACCTAGTAAAACCTAGCATGTAAAAAATAAACTTCAAATAGATAAATTACACAGGATTTCAGCATTCACAAGTTTTGTATTAATTTTTGTGGCAGATTGAGTGAGACCATTTAAATGAAAGTTTGAAACTCTTGTTAATTTGAATTTTATTAGAAAGCTGCTGTGAAATTAAGTTTATAGGAATGTGAAAATTGTAGGGCACTTTTTTCCGAAAAGTGTATCTTTTTTGAAATGCTAAGTATACTCACAGGCCAATATTTAAAAAAAAATTTAAATGTTTTTAAGCCAGCTGAAATTCCAACTCTAGGCAAAGTTAAAATTCTAACTAAAATAGTCTAAAGAATATGATCTTCCTTAGGGACTGAGAAATTTTAAAATAAGTGAAAATTCGCTTCAGTTAAGGGATACAGTGAGATACATCTCAAAGGCATAAAGATTCAACCTAGTCTTTTCTTTAAAAAATAGGAATTCTGGACTAATAAGATAGTGTCAAGAGACAGAAAAAAACAGAAGGTTATGGGCCAAAAGAAACGTTCCTGATCTTTTTTGCTCTAAATCTTTCCATCTCAGTTGAAATACAGATGATTATGGAAAGTGGTCTCTCTTGCTTACCTTAGAATTGTTTGTATCTAATGATCTGGTGATGCAAATAGTTTTTAGAGGATACAGGTTGTTGTTTTCTTGTCTTGGTTTTTATAATTAACCATATAAGAGGCTACCTCTATTATAATAATAGTGATCCATTGCAAATTGAGATAGAACTCTACAGCTCTATCTTTATGAAGTGTCAATGGAAAATATTTCAGACTTTCTGCAAATGGGAATGGAATAAATTAAGGGTTAATTGTGGAACTCTAGAAAAGTATATGTCATGTGCTGTCTTTTGAAACTGCCCATGAAACGTTCTGAAAGAACTACCAAGTATAAAATACAGGAACTAAATTGTAAAATGGAGGCTGTCAAAAAACTAAGCAGAATTTAGTCATAATTTACCTGTAAGGAAGTTAGGACATGAAAAATAGCATGTAACTTATTTTTAAATTATCAATGCAACCAAAGATGTTAATCTGTATATGTCAAATAATTTCTTTTTTCTTTTTTTTTTGAGTTGCAGTTTCATTCTGTCATTCAGGCTGGAGTGCAGTGGCATGCTCATGACCACCACAACCTCCACCTGCTGGGCTCAGGTGATCCTTCTGCTTCAACCTTTCAAGTAGTGGAATTACAGGCGCACACCACCACACCGGCTAATTTTTTTTATTTAGAGACGAGGTCTTGCCAAGTTGCCCAAGCTTGTCTCGAATTTCTGGGCTCAGGCAATTTTCTCGCTTCCCAAAGTGCTGGGATTACAGGCATGAGCCACCGTGCCCAGCCCAAATAACTTCTTCACAAGTGAATTCTGTACTCCAGTATATTTTTTCCCACTTGCCACAAACTAGAAAAGCCAAAAGTAAGGAAATCACATCCTTGCTACTTTTGTGACTTAGTTGTCTGTTTGCATCTCCAAGCATGTTTGACTGCCTGCTATCATGGTCACAAATCTGAGGTTCCCCTCAAGACCACAGTTCCAAATTCATGCTGTTGAATTGAAAATGAGTCTTGTTTTGGAACACAGCTGAGGGTGTGCACAAAAATACCTTGATACTGTATCCTTGTTGCAAATTATTCCAAAAATAGCAGACCCTTTAAGAATTCTAATATACAAGTGAATCTCTTATTGTCCCAACAGCATCTATTTATACCACGTAGAATTGACTGCTCAATTTTTTCCAGTCTTAGAAAGTAAAAGATCTAATTAACTTACATCTCCACCGGCTCTCCCCAATAGAAATAAAAAATTCAACTCTGAGTTAGAAAATTAAGGGTTAGTTGTGAAAATCTAGAAACAGTATGTGTCATGTGCTGTCTTTTGAAACTGCCTGTGACATGTCCTGAAACATTAACCTTTCATTTTCTTTATTTTCTCTCTCTTATCCCCCTAAACATTGGACAGTATTGTATATTAGGGGAAATTCTTTTTCTTTATCTTCTAAATTTCAATAACATTACTTTTCACTCTGAGAATTTGGGAATGAAAACTATTTTGGGTAACCCCATCTGAAGAATTTTAAGAGTTTTACTGCTAAAGATAGTCTGATGCAAGGGAATGAATACTGACACATAAGATGGTATGCAAGTGTTTGTTCTGTTTTCATCTATGGGTTTTCTCTGTCTCTTACGTGAATTGCTTTACTGCTTCAACAAAATGTGGCCCTGTCCTATAAAATCCTACAATGATGAGTATCCTTGCAATGCTAATGGTATGGTCATTATCTAGGACCTTATTTCAGGAATCCTGTCTTACCTTTTTATTCAGTAGGGTGCTGAACTATTTAGGTCTCGAACTTTCATAAGGGCAGGAAATCAGACACCATGCTCTCACTGTTCCAATTTTCTTTTGTGCTACACTTGTGTGTTTCTGTTGGACAAAAGTACTGTGTGCCTAACTGTGGCTCAACATCTCGGCTCTAGGTTCAGCTAGAAAGTTTCTTTAGCATGGTTAACTTTAATTATCCATTTCCTCACAGCAGCAGCCACTTACCCCAGAGTATAAGTAGTACTATGCCAGTAAAGTATGTTATTAGTAATCAATCTAAACATTTAGCACTACCAAGTCAGTCAGGAATGAGAGAGAAGTGTACTCTGTTGATCACCTCTTCCATATCTATTTCTTCTTTTTGTACTGGGACTCTCACTCTGTTCAGGAAACCTCCTTTCCCACAGTCCATGTGATTGGGTAGGTGGACCCCATCCTCAGTTCCAGAGATTAGTCCTGACTAATCTAAGCCAGTTAGTGCCAGACATTTCCCTGGCAACTATTACTGGTCTGGGATGGGCACAAGACCTAAGTTGGGCCTAAAAACACTGAGGAGGAAAACTATGTCCTGGTGGAAGTAGGTGACCCATGTTTACATAGTTAAGAGTTATAATCACAAGGAAATTAAGCCTTAGGATGAATTTGACACTAGACTGAAATTTTTCATTGCTATGCCTCTGAATTAAGTTTAAATCCCTCCCTTGCCCTGGACTACTAAAGAAAAAATAAGTTTCTTATAAGATAAATCAAGGTTTCTATAACTTGCAGCTGAAATACTTTTTGCTACTAAAAATGGGAAGAAGAATCTCAGAGAACAAAGCTTAGGAAATCCCAGGACACAAAGTGTTTACTATAGAAACAGGCTGCTGTTCCTCTAAAAGCAGGAAAGAACCACCCACCTCTGCCCCATATGCACCTTTTATTCATGGGCAGTGGCTCCCTTTTTTTCCCTTTCATTTTTTTTCTTAATTTGAGTTTACATTCAAATTACTACATACTTAGTAGTAGTATATACCTGAAAATTGAAGCTTTAATTTTTAAAAAAGTCTTTATTCTCTTTTTTCAATTCCTTAGCTTCCATCTAATAGTACACCAGGCCAGTTGATTTATTATGCCTTCCTTGTTGGGGTAGAGATATATCCAAGATTATTTATTTCTCAATATTTACTGCTTTAGAATATATAATTGTAAATGTATGGACCATGTTTGTCTAGTGTGTTCCTTAGATAATCTGAATTCAGACTTTAAATTCTCATTTCTCATGACAACTGTTCTTATATTCTCAGCCTTATCCTTTTCAGCAGGAAGAGGGAAAAAATATCAATTTTTATTGTACTAGGAGCCCTCATGCTAGAAAAACTTACCTAATGTCATGGGACTGTTTTGGAATTAGAGAAGAATTGCTATATCAAAGGAGATGCAAAGCATAATTAATTTAGAGCTTATATCCTTTTCAAAGGTATCAGTGATGTGCTAGAACATGAGTGGTAACTTTTTCATATATACTAAGGAGTGAAAGATAACTCTAACTTTATTCTAATATCAAAAAACAAGGTGATGGTAATTTTGAGTATGTTTTTTGTTAACCATGATGAAATGTTTTAAGGTTTAGAATGAGAAATTTGTTTATGTCAAGTGCAATAATAAAAGTCTCACAAGTTACTCAAATAGGAAATGAATACGCTTCAACACTTGAAAGACACTGGTAAAAGTAGTAAAAACATTGGGCAGAATGGGGTAGATTATGAAGGAACTCAGAACCAAGTGTGTTCTTAATCTGCAAAATCTTGAGAAAAACTGTACATGTAGTACATATGTTAGGCCCAGGAAGGGCAGGTAGGGCTTGGTGTGCAGACTACTAAGATGTTTCCTAAAGCCAGTGCCGCCCGGAAGTGGAAAGAATTAGTCAGGAAATATAAACAGTAGGAAAAAGAATTATTCACAAGATTTAGGAAAAGTGTTGGAGAAAACTATAAGCCATACCTGCATACCAGTTTTCTATGATGTGGCATGGTAGATCATATCAATAGTAAATATGTATTTATTGATTATTGTGTTGCAGACATTGATCTGAATGCCTAGCCCACAAGATCCTTACAACTCTTCATAAAACTGTACATCCCAGGTGATTAGTTACTAGTTGTGTATGAATATTAAATTTACATTGATTTAAGTTAGCAAAGGTAAAGATGAAATGTGTTGCAGAGATATTTAAGATGTATGGTCAGGGTTAGGTATACAAATGTTC